TTCTCTACTTGTAAGCATCGTAACGATATATGGCTCATCGCTTAATCTCAAAACCAGCGAGTACCATCACAGTACAATGATTGATAAACTCATTTTGATATAACCGATAATTGTGATGATGTAGATGACGAACATGATGAGAAGTGTGAAGATGAAATCATTCTGGATAATATGGATGGGATCGTGGTTGATGAATGTAGACGGATGATAGAATCCAGTGATTTGTTCATTGATAAGGTCAAAAATTAACGAGCAATTGAGCTGAAAGCGCGTGAAGATAGCGTAAAATTGGAACTATAGAAGAAGGCTTAGTGCATAAAAATGAATCAATCTGGGAATGGACCGGATAAAATGAGATCTCTTACGTATATTCGTGTTTCTATTTGAATTGACATACTTGCTCATACATTGTATAAATCCTAAACGCTTTGCTTAACATTTACTAGGCAGTAATTTATTAGGTATTAAATGAACAATTTATCGAAGTGAAAAGTTAAGAAAAAAATTAATGAATGAACTGAAAGATACAATATAGATCGACGTGACATTTTTCAATCGGATATGATGTCTTGTTGCGTCACCTGAATAGTTGTGCCTTACTGACGAAACAAGACATCATTACTGACGTCCATAGCAAAATGAGTGTATTTTCTGTGGAGGAAGTTGTGATTGAAGCAAAATGTGCTGTGTATCGTACTCAATTGTTGAGAAAAATCCATTGCAGAGCAACCGAATAGTAGGAAATGTTAAAAATGTAGTGCAGAAAAATCTGAAAAAAGACCAGGATTAAGTGAAGCGTATTTTCACTGGTATTTTCTTTGTCAGATGACGTTTCAGTGAATATTTGAATTTATCGTCATATGTTCGAACTCCACTTGAATTTGCTAGCGACATTCTGAAAAAAACATTTCTCGCTTTCACCTGCAGTCATCATGATCTGAAATCCTACTTTCACACCTCTCTCATTTTGTATCCAATTGACGTAAAGATTTAAGAATCTGAAATCGATTATCAGGATGCAATATGATTTATGAATGTTCAAGCTCAATAGTTGTACCTCTGTATTCAAATTTAGGGGTAATGAAAACGATTTTTTTATCGTATTAGTTGGTATCGTTATTAGATATTAAAGCAAAATGTTACTGTTGACTACGAATCAATTGAAGTCAATCGTCATACTTTTCCATTCCTTGCGATCACGATATGCTGTTATCTCCATTCATTGGGATAACTCAATACTTCACCTGTAAAAAGTCTTAAAATTGCAAGTGGATGGAGTGATCATAATTAAATTATGTGCTCTTTTGATTACCCTTCAACATTCCTCTAAAATGTCGAAGAAGTAACCTCTTCGAATCTATTTTCAATCAGTGTACCAATTCCTCATATTTCTAATTTACCTGTTCATATCCTAGATTCCTTAAACAATACCATAATTCCAGTTAGTTCTTGAACGATAGATACACTTCATCTTCTGATTAATTCTCAAAAGCATTCAAATTTCAGTGTGTAACTTCGTATGTCACGATCGATGCCTCAAAACAGTCGTATCATACTGCAGTGGCGTTGCGTTACAATTGATCAAAGTAAGTTGATGGCTACTGACTTGAATCATTGGCACTTGATTCGTTTTGTGCGTTCGATTCATTCGTTAGCATTCAGAACTTCATCATATACGATATTTCTAATCGCATAAAAAAAGTAGCCTTCAAAGTCCGTTGTGTAATTTCAGTCAACTACAGTAATATTGAAATGTCACTGATTTTTTTGAAGTTTACTTGAACACGTCCCTAACCACCCTAAAATTGTCGGAATTTCGAATGCGCAGAATTATCGAGGCTTCTGAAGTTTGTGATGATTTCAGAATCCAGTTGCCCATACATGGTCTGAACCATCGCATATAAAGCGACGATTCTGTTGCGTTTGTCGCAAGCGAACCGACGACACACTAACAGTTGAATGTGAAGGTATGTGCATCCATTTGTTTCTTCCGTGAATATTTATCAACTTCGATTGTTTGCTGATGATTTTGCTAATCGAATTTATGATGTCAGTCTCAATCGGATGAAAGTGCTTTATGTTTCAGTATGTGAATATTATGTTCACGTGGATTGTCAGGATTTAGCAGTTAGCGATTGTAAAGAGGCGGCCACATTCGTTCCCAATGTTGACAAGGTGATATTTGTCATTCAGTTTTAATCATCTTCACTTCTCTATATCCATTACGTGAATACCTATCACAGTTTGGACTTGAATATTTTACCTGGATTACCTGGATTGGCCAGGCTATCAAACGTTTGTAA